ATAGATAGATAGATAGATAGATAGATAGATAGATAGATAGATAGATACTCCAGAGAAACGAAATCTCCTCCATTCGATAGGTGGCGGTAATGCGGTGCACATTGTCTGGGAAACTGCTCAATAATTTGATAGAAGAAGAAATCGTGCAAAAACAAAAATTGTGTGTTTGTAGTTTCTCCAGGTTAGTTCATTGTTGCAGACTGTGTTATTTTATCACCGCACGCGTGGATAAATCTCAGGTCGGCATCAGAAATAGTTAGTTGTTGTTCACGTTAATATTTGTACATATTGTCATTGAATGCGCCACCTTTCAAAAAGCTAATTGAACTTTTACTCACGTTTGGTTGCGCTGTGTCAGAATAGGTGAACTTTGACACACCGGGGGGTGCACCGAGGCAAAGACAGAACCATCCAGCTATTTAGGTCACTCATTTGACGGCTTTTGTCGTAGGGCTGGCAGAAGAAGAGTTTTAAGCAAAGGCGCACCGCAGACCTCACGATGACCTCCAGGAAAGTGGTGGAGTTGTTCTACGACGTGGTGTCGCCCTACTCCTGGCTCGGCTTCGAGGTTTGTGCGTTCGTCCCGACAGCCTCGACCGGTGGTCACACTTTGCTGAATATCACATCATCCCTTCGTTTGTTCGCAGGTTATGTGTCGCTACAGAAAAGTGTGGGACATCGAGCTGAAACTGCGCCCTGCTTTTCTGGGCGGCGTCATGCAGGGAGCAGGTCAGCAGTGGGTCAGCAGTGGGTCAGCAGCGGGTCAGCGGCCGGTTTGCAGGCGGCCTGCTCGTCCTTGTGTTCACTCTGACTCTTCTATCTTTCGTGACAGGCAATAAGCCCCCTGGCTTGGTTCCCAACAAATTCCTGTACATGATAAGCGACCTCAACAACTTGTCCAAATACTTTGATGTCCCTTTGCAGCCACCGTCCGACCCTTTTGAAGTTATGTTTAAAAAAGGTAAAAGCACCACCAGGGCAGTGATGGATGTTTGATTTTGAATTGAAAAAGAACTGTAGTTTACTCTGGTTCACACTAGTTGGAAGACATATATAGACCAAATTTGAATACAAAGATGGTCTGTCATTATTTTATTTTTTATCTTAAGGAAAAAGGAGTCAAATTTTCTCCAGAAATTAAGTATCCAAGCTCCCTAAAAACATCATAACATTTTGTCTATTTCTTGAGTTATTAAATTAATATTCCTTTTCCATTAGCTACATCTGTAGCCTTTTGGGGAGCTCATGTCACACTTTTAAAACCTTGGCTCTTGTAACAGTGTTTGCAATGCCATTGGAACAAGTTTTCCCATACATCTTTCTGATACAGAGGAACCGTCACACTGGTATTATATGATTGTATGTTGTTGAACTACCATCTTTTTTCTCTGATTGACATGAAGAATCTGAGCCTTCATTTGGTTCACTAGCTGTTAGTGTTTATGCGAGCTGGAGGAAAGTTGCCTACTGTGACTGAATTTTGATACTGATGAGGGCAAACAGATCTCAGCTCTTTATTTTGGCTAAGAAGTGTTAAACACCTTCTGGATTGTAAGATCAGTCAGTTCATAATCATTTGAATTGAGTGTATTACAGAGACTGAAAGTGTAGCTGTGAGGCTGTTTAAGAGATTAGTGTTGTAAAACTCTGAATCCCAGCTGGTGATGAAGCATCACATAGGTGGAAGCGTTAAAATCTAATAAGCTTTCTCTTTGCAGGCTCCTTGAATGCAATGAGATTTGTGACCGCGGTTAAGGAAAAGGAGAAAGATGGAGACAAGCAGGTGGAGCAGGTTTCCCGCGAGCTGTGGAGACGGATCTGGAATGAAGACAAAGACATCACGGAGCCTGCATCTCTGACCGAGGTTGTAGCCTATTTGTAACGCACTGGGCGTGTTTCTAGTAAGGATTTAGATCTAAATTTTATTCTATCCCAATTCTTTTTTTAATCTATTTTTTTGCAGGCGGCAAAGAAAGCGGGATTGTCTGACAGTGAGATTGAGGAGGCTCTGAAACTGTCCAACTCCAAGGAAATCAAAGACAAGCTTAAAAATGCAACCCAGGATGCTCTCAATTATGGGGTCAGCTGCTTCTCTGCCCTCCTTGAACACTCAGAAAAGAATGAAATGACAGAGTAATGATCAAAACCCTTCCCCTCTCCTGTTTCAGGCGTTTGGTTTCCCCATGGTGGTGTGTCATGTCCATGGGAAGACGGAGATGTTTTTTGGATCTGACAGATTTGAGCTCATGGCCCACTGCATCGGTGAGAAATCCAGATTTTCCTATCAACTAAAGTCTACTTTCTCTGTTGTACAGCCCTGACTAAACAATTTACTGTTGTCGGAACACTGTAGACAAACGCAGGAAGGCATGAACTGCTTTTCTGTCTGTGATCTGTGCATCTTATCAGCAGCTCAGATTCTTCTTCAGCCTTGTTTTCGTTTGTGTTTTAGGAGAGACGTGGCTGGGGCCTAAACCTGATCATTCAGCTGCTAAGCTGTGAGCTGAGAACCTTCGTCATGCTCTGTTGATTTTGCTCACAGACTCTAATGTTGTTATTGATTTTCTTTAACACTTCATAATTCATATTTTCCAAGCTGTGCCTTCTGAAGACAAGCTGCCAAAGCTTTCTGAAGAGCCCCTGTAACTAATGGCTGCCAATAATGTACATAGAAATGATAAAGCTGATTAATGTGTCCTGTAAAATACAAGGATGTGAAAAGAATGTGATCTGATATTTCTAGCTGTGCTTGTGACGTTTTTTGTAATTTGAGGAGCTGTCAATCTGCTACGTTGATCCTGGTCCCAAGAAATAATGATTCATTTTTTTATATTTAATTTTTCAAAGCGCCTGCTGACACTGTTATTCTCATAGAAAATCCATCCGTTACACTTTTAAAGCGTTTGAATACGTTCCTTTAAGGATATGAGTTTTTTTTCTCTGTGTTCGAATTGATGTAATAACATTTAATATATTTTGATCAAATCTTGCCATTGTTTTTAAAGAACTACGGAAGTTCTTTAGCCTCCTTCCGATCAAATAAATAACACAGGAGACTTGGACCTGTATTTGTAGGAGAAAATGATCCAGTGCTGCACATCTGTGTGAGACAGAGATACACAAACCTCTGTCTGGCATTTGCTGTTAAGAATAAAGTCAGGTGTTTTAATCTGTGAGACAACATGTGGATTTGATGGGCTTTTTTTTGTAAGAATCTAAACCCATCAAATTTTGATCTTCAAAATTCTTTATCCTTTGTTTTAATCTCCAATGGAACATGTACTGAAATGTACCAAGAAGATATTGAAATATTAGAAAATGTATCCAGGAACCAAGTCTCTAGAGAAGGAAGGTGGGGGTGACAAATGATGCTTTAGAATTCATTTTTTGTCTCCAAAGAAAGAATAGACTCAGAGGATCATCCCACAGGGCAACATCCCATCTAACTGTCAGATCCAATCTGACTGTAATCTGAAAATGATTTCAGCCTGAATTACTGACATGTAAACGACAAGATATCAAAATAGAATTTAAATAAAATGCAATACACATAGTGCTGCGTTTCTAACTTTTCCACCAAGTTGTCATCAGAAGCATCAGTGATGTCACATTCACATGACAACTGAGAAAAAAAATGTTACTCCGGTCACATGTCTCTGTGAACCTTCCCAGGACTCTGGCAGCATTTTGTGGGGCTCGCTCACCTCCATCTGACTGGTGGAGAAGGTTTATTTGCGGATCCTTTGGTAGCTGCACATGACTGCCATTGAATGGTCCGAGCAAGATCATGTGACTGCAGCAAACGGCAACTCGCATTAAGTCATTCCTGTGACTGTGACTGCTGGACTCAGCACTGGCTGGGTGGACCCGTCGCTCTGCACCTCT